ACCCTAGAACTCCCCGAAATGGGGTTTTTATAGCAGGAGAGGGAGGAGGAAGAACACCATCGCTTACCTGGGCGGTGAGCCGAGCCAAGAGAAGCGACAAACCTCGCGTGAGGAGGTGACGTCGCGAATCGCAGAGGCGTGGGAGCAGGTTGAAGCCTTCCGCAGAGCACGGAAGCACGCGGATGGGGGGACCTCGGCCGAAGCTTCGTGACGAAGAGGGTAGACCGCTCGGCTAGGGCTGCGATCGGGATGAACCACGAACGAGAGGAAGGAGCTGATGGGGGGGACCGAGCGACCGAGAGGAAGAAAGTGGGGGTCTTGCGTGCGTTCGATTTAGGGATTTAGGGATTTAGGGCCTTAGGAATGTAAAAGGAAGATTCAGTTTATATAAATTTATATATATATATATATATACATATACATATATATATATATATATAATCACATGCGATTCATTCACGCGCGGTGTCGTAACAAAATGGGTGTCTTCCCTAGGCAAAATCGACATTCCAGACGCACCGGCGCTGTCTGTTTTGCCGTCAGAGGTCGTTTCGACGAATTCACCGATTTGCGTGTCAATTTTCTCGTGTCGAAAATATGGCAATACGGGTGTCCTTTCCTACCAAAATTGGTATCCCGGACGCGTTGGCACGGTCCAATTCGTCGTCGGAGGTCATCCGGATAAATTCGCATTTTCACCGGTCCCTTAGGCTTAATTGAAGTCTGATTTCGCGCAATTTCGTGAACTTCGTGTATTTGATGTGTGTATGTGACGAAAAAGGTCGTGACGATGTTTTCCTAAGGCTTGAAGTCCTATTTGGAACATTTTCCTTGAATCTACGCAACATAGCCCATAACCGCTCGTTCATAAGACGATGGTCTTGTGCCAAAGATGCTAGACATCAAAGGAAAATAGGAATTGGCTGGAATTTCTAGAAGGGTGAGTCTCAATTCTAGTTTTCTAAGATGGTCCATCTAGAACCTAGGAGCTAGAACCTAGGCTCTAAGGAGGAGAAGAAAAGACTTCACAAAAATGAGGTCAACACAAACATGTAAAAACATAAAAGTAAAGGGGTATGTATGTAAATCTTCCATATGTTAGAGTCACTGGCTTCTGCAGTCCCTAGAGGCTGATTTAAATTCAACGGCTAAAGACTCTAGAGGCTGATTTGAATTCAATGGATGAGGAAATGCTAGAATAACACTAAACTGATAGTTGGCCCAAACTGATCCCGAAACACCGGTTTCAGCCAACTTTTGAAGACTTTGCTTTAAAAGGACAAACATAGGCTGATGGAGGAAGAAAGTTTGAAATAGAAGACATACCACAACAATGATTCATAAAAGCGGAGTGTCCTGGATGTCACAACCCTTCCAACTTATTAGGGCCAGTGAGTTGCAATTCTGGAGATTCCAACTGTTCAGAAAATCATTATGCATGATATCTGTTCATAAAGAAAGTAAGTTTACAAAATAGAATCAAAAATAAATTTATCAACAGATAAATAATCAAAATAGAGAAAGGTAGCATATTTTTTATTTATAATAAGTATTATAAACCAAACAGTTTATAAGAATTTCATCGGCATTAAAGCAAAGTAAATTGCTTGAAAACATTGCAAAAACCGAACTTTACTGATAAAAAAACCCAATTTTGGAGCAAAATAGTAAAAATTAATACACACACACACACACAGATATATTTATATATATAGAAGTACTATATATATATATGATGAAAACTACCTTCTCTGGGTATTTTTTGGCAAGTTCCAATAATTGAAGACAACCAAACTTTCACTGGTCCCGGCCTAACAAGTTTGCCAGTCTACCTCTTTGACAAGGGGAGTGGTTGGACTATCCTTGAACCATAGAACGCAGTCAGCCCATCATCAACATTACCAGGGATGACTATATCTTTCCACGTATGAAAAGAGCTTAATGGTCGTTTATCAGTGCGGTCCCCCTGCATAATTCCATCAACATTTAATTATTGGTTTTAGTAGAGGCTTGTGATTGGAACAAAACATTAATTTTCTAGAATGGATTCTCGTTTTGTTCAGAGAAGCACAAAACAAATATCACTTCAAAAACTAGGTATCGGACAAAGGTAAAAAGTAATGCTCACAACACGCAATAACCTAACTTTGATAGCTTGAATATCATCATCATTAGCCTTGCACGATTTTATTTGGAACAGGATTTATAAACTCTCAATCTTCACTCATCCATATTGATTGTTATAGGTCTTAATCATATCTGAGTAAATATTTTTGCAAAATTCTATACATTCTCTTTTGGTTTATGACTCTCTTTCTAGGCCTTTGATGCTACTTTTATCTACTCACCTTATGGGTCCCACCAGAACTTAATATAAATCTTCTCTATTTATCATTTCTAGTTGTACTAAATATCCATCTTAATCAATATGACTACCAATGGCCGAATTATAGCACAACATATATATCCATACGACATTGATAGCCTATGTGAGATCATATAAATTTTACCTTCCAACTTTTCATAAAATTTTCTCCGCATAATGTTTCTGGAGCATGCAACAATTTTAGCAACCCAACCTTTAAAGTTATATCTTCTAGTAATGTTGGCCATACTTACTAATAAATAAAATATAACACCAAAAAGACTGAAGTAATATTTACAAATTTCATGTAATTTAATAGGATGTAAAATAAAAATATATAATCTTGATACCTGGCACGCAGCATAACTGCAATTACAAAGAAGTCGTGTGCATTGATCTCTGTTATATATTCTTACAGCATATTAAAAAGATGTTAGATTGGCACCTACGGCTCTTTCTGCAATGTCGAGCCTGCCAAATAATTTGAAGACTTATTTTAGACGCAAGACTAAAAGGGCAATTTAGTCTTTATTAGTTATTATTGTTTGGTATAAATAGAGCATAAAATGATTAGAGTTAGGGTATGCTATTATTGTCCGAAGTCTTAGGAGTTAGAGTTTGGAAGATATTGTCAACCTCTCGAATTTTAGGTATTTATCATTCATGCATTTTGGATTGTATTAATTTGTTTGGTACATATGGAATAGAATAATTTATGCCCGAATCATTTGGAAAACTTGTCTCGTTCCTACCAAATTGGAATTAGAGCCGAACAGATTGAGGAGCACCATCTCGTTCCTTACACGATTCGTAGTTGAACATTACCTTCGCGACTATACCACGCAATCCAGCCATAATTCGAGCTAACAGGAAAGCCGATGACAAGATCACGGCGACAGGATCCGTTGTGCACGCCTTTGTGCCCAAACCTCACGATACGGTCGTGATTCAAGCTAGCTGGGAAGCAAAGGATGGGATCGCGACATACAGGATCCGTCGCACACACAATCGTGAATGAACCTCTCAATATAGTTGCAATCGAGCTAGTTGGGAAGCCAACGATGGGACTGTTGCACATGCCTTCGCGACATAAACTTGAGATAAAGTTGTGATTTGAGCTAGTTGGGAAGCCAACAACTGAATCATGGGGTACATGAGTTCCGCCTTCGTGATAGAAAAACATGTAGTGGCCGCTAAGAAAGTAGAAGTATTGGTGGAGAAATTAAAGGGATGGGTGAGCCGAATCAAATATGGAATAGAGGAGCATTTCTCGTTCATGAAGGGGCGGTTCCCGTCCATGGAGAATAGATTCATGGTCATAGAATAAATGATGAAGAAGATCGTTGAATTTCACACAAACCCACCGCAACCTATAGTTGGATCAAGTGACAGCGTCTAGAGCGGACGCGAGCAACAGCAACCAGAAGAATTCGTGTGATATCATGCCAGCATCTCTACCTAAGTTAGATCTGGTGCCAAGGGATTGAGCAAAGGAATTGAGAGCAGACTAGAGCGGTCGCACTTGAAAGGAATAGTGTGACATCTGGATGGCTAGAACAAGTGGCGACAAGTGAAATGGGACAGCGTGCAATTCGAAGATAGAGAAGATCGATTTGAAGAATTTCGGCCTAGAACAGGGAATCATGGTGGGTGGGAACCCGGTCGAGGGTTGCATCCAACCGCGCCAGTGTCATTTGTTGCAGCAACCTTCCGAGCGGAAGATATTCAAAAGCCTATAAGGACAGGCTAATTGATTATGGGGCGAGCCTGACTTATGTAAAAGGAAAATCAATAGGGTCTAGGAAGAGAGCCCAACCCCCACTTCATGGGTAGAACGAGCTTCGATCGAGAAAAATGAGGACTCGTGCATAAGGAAGTTGAAGATGTTGATCATTAAAGGGCGGGATGTATGCGGTTGGGTTTATCACTTTGAGAGATATTTTACTGTTAATGGGCTAATAGAGAGAAAAATTGATAGAGGCGATTGTGTGTTTGAAAGAAAAAAATCTAGTGTGATATCAATGAAGAGAACAACGTTAACCAATCAGAATATGTGAAGATTTTAAGGACCGCTTGTTGGAGTGTTTCAAAACCACATGGGAAGAGGATATACACAAGCAGTTTTTTGCACTGGTCCTGGAAGGTTCCGTCATGGATTATAGGGAGAAATTTAAAATATGCTTTGGTCATTTGAGAGGGATATTAGAAGAAGTGTTGGAAGGAAACTTCATGAAAAGATTGAAGTCAGAAATTCGAGTAATTTGCTTAGACCCAAGGAATTGAAAAACAATGGAATTAACAACGTTGACTAAAGATAAAATGTAATGGAACAAGCCAATAAGAGCAGCACAAATGAAGCGTCATACCGAAACGCTACAACTATGACAATAACAAAAACTCAAATAGTGGAATTCAGATGAAGGCTCCACGGGACATGAATAATGTGCCACGATCAGGGACGACATTCAAACGCCTTATAAAAACAAATTCAGAAGAAACGAGCCAAAGGTTTATGTTTTCAGTGAGATGAAAATATTTCCTAGGATAGCGTTGCAAGGACTAGACCTTAAAGGTGGAGGAGACAGGGGATGAGAAAATAAAGGAGGCTATAATGGAGGAGGTGAAGGAACACTCTCAATTGAATGTGGCATAAGACTCATTGAACTTAGTTGTAGGGTTAACATTAAACCACACAATGAAACTTTGGGAACAAATTAGAGAGCGGGATGTAGTGATCTTAGTAGATAGTGGGATCACCCACAATTTCATCTCTACTCAAGCGGTGAGGCAAAAAGTAAGTTGAGATGGTTGGCATGGAAAGTTATAGTACAGTTGGGGATGGAACGCGTGAACAAGAGTGGTGGAGTTTGCAAATGAGTGAATTTAATGTTGCAAGATATTCAGGTGATGGAAAATTTTCTTCCCTTGAATTTAGGAAGCACAGACGTGATATCGAGTATGAAATGGTTGCAGTCGTTAGAAGAGACTAAGATGCACTGGAAATTCCTGACAATGGAGTTCCAGGAGAGAGACAAGATGGTGGTGTTTCGCATTGACCCTAGCTTGTGTGAGATGGTGACTCTCAAGATAATTGTTAGGGCAATACAGGACGCGGGATTGGGATTCTTAATCGAGTTGCATGCCATAGAAGGTACACATAACATAGTGTTGTCAAAGATTCCAACACAAATCCAATATTTCCCACAAGAATGTGCAGAAGTTTTTCAGTTGCCATGTGGATTGCTACCTCAGAGGGAACACGAGCATGCAATAATCCTGAGACCGAGGGTTTCTCCCATAAGTGTATGCCCATACCACTACCTCCAAGTACAGAAAGACAAGATCGAGAGAGGGATCCGAGAGATATCATAGGTTGGGATCATATCTCTTTCTCTAGCCTAGCCTTGCTAGTGAAGAAGAGAGATGGGAGTTAGCATTTTTTTTTTTTTGTGGATTATCGTACAGTAAATAAGAAACATTACCTGACAAATTTCTCATCCCAGTGATCGATGCGCTATTGGATGAACTGTTTGGGGCTACGGTATTCTCCAAGATTGATTTGAATTCAAGATACCATCAAATTTGGATGTGGCCGATGGATGTGCGCAAGGTTGCATTTCAAACTCATTTGGGTCAACATAAATTTCTGGTTATGTCATTCGGGCTCATCAATGCATTAGCTACATTTCAATAATTGATGAACAAGATGTTTCAGTCTTTTCTCTAAAAGTTTGTGTTGGTGTTCTTTGATGATATCCTAGTGTACAGTCGTTCTTTGGAAGACAATTAATTATTTGAAGAAAGTGTTAACGATACTTGGTAAGCACCAGCGCTACGCTAATTTACATAAGCGTTTGTTCGCCCAACCAAAAGGTGTACTTAAGACTTGTGGTGTCAGCTGAGGGATATCGACGGATCCATCGAAGGTAGGGGCTATGTTGGACTTAGACCTTGAAGGTGTTGAGAGAATTTTTGTGACTTACAAGATACTATTGATAGTTCATGAACGATTACAGTTCGATTGCGTGCTCGTTGATGGGACAACTAAAGAAGGAAAGTTTTTAGTAGGGGAGAAGCAACGGCCTAGTCTTTTAAGAAGTTAAAGAAAGTCATGACGAGTGTACCAATATTGGCCTTACCAGATTTCAACCAAGCATTTATTGTAGAGATGGATGCTTCAGTCAATGGATTAGGCACAATCCTCATGCAATGTCAATGACCAGTAGCTTATTTTAGTCAAGTACTGGCGGCGAGAGCCCGACTCAAGTCAGTTTATGAGCGAGAGCTTATGGCAATAATGCTTGTCATTTAAAAATGAAGGCCTTATTTGTTTGGGCGGCATTTTACAGTACGCACAGATCAACGCAAACATAAATTTATGTTAGAACAGCGGATAGTGACTAAAGAATATCAGGGCTATCTAAGCTATTGGGGTATGACTTTAAAATTCAATATCGCCAAAGATTAGAGAATAAGGTCATTGATATTTTATCATGACAGATAAATTAACCTCAATTATTGAAATTGTCAGTCCCTTCAGCCATAAGAATGGGAGATATTGAGGCAAGAAAGTTAGGCATAAGGGGAATTGAGCGAGATCT